TGATATTTGATATAATTATTTTAAATATTAACATATTAAATTAATGAATTATTATTAAAATTAATTATAAAATTTTTCAAATATATTTTAATATATTTTAATATTAATTAATTTTTAAAAATATAAATATTATTTATACATTGAATAATTGTATTTAAATTATTTATAATTAATTTAAATATTTATATAATTTTACTATAAATTATTTAATATAATAATTAAAATTAATTAATAAATATTTAAAATAATTATATTTAATATTAAACTATTAAATTAAATAACTATTATTAAAATTAATTATAAATGTTTTAATATTATAATATTTTTAAATTTATTTTATAATAAAAATTTTTTAATATTATTTAATATTAAAATATATTTTAAAATATTTATAATTAATTTTAATACTAATTATTGGAAAGTTTTCGTTGTTTTTTTAATCTCTTTAGTCAATGCCAATACATGTGGTGTGCTCCACCGGCACCCCACAAATATTGGTGGTTCATTTGTTAACCTCACTTTTGTTGAAGTTTAGTCTTTCTTTTTTAGAAGCCTAGGATCTAACTATAGAATTTTCCTATTTATTATTCTAGAAGACTAGTAATGAAACTCTACCCAGTATAAATTATAAACACCACTTTGCTCTTCTTTGAGTTCCACATATTTGGTTTTGCCTTCTAGCACTAAGAAGGTTGGAACCAGCATGGGGGAGCTCAATAGGAGTTTCCATAGGATAGTCAGACGTTAGGGTTAGCCCTTAGAGGCTTGTTTGGTCTTGGTCAGGCACACACATGCACAATCGTAAACCCTAAAATCATTCACCCTTAGCTTGATCCTCTACTCTTTTAGAAGCTTATGTGGGTGATCCCCTAAGCTCTTAGTCTTTAGCTAGGGCGGCCAGGACCAGCACATGGAGGATCCAAAATGGGCTTCCCATTGGTCTCGTGGCTCAGAAAAAGTAATTTTATGATTAGCATGTGGAATTGATGCCAATTCCACCCAAACACGTACCTTTGGGCCTTCTATCTCTAAACATTTCCAAAATTACCAAAATATCCCTTTAACCCTAACTTTCCCAGAATTCCCCAATATACCAATTCCTACCCAAAAAACCTTGTTAACACATTCAATTTGACAAAAACACCCCAATTTCCTCAAAATTCTCAAAATACCCCATTTTTTTCAAAATTACCAACATACTCTTCATGTTCCAAAAATTCCCAAAACTTCCAAATTCACTCCAAATATCCCCAAAATTAATCCTAACCACATTACAACTTCAATTGCGCCCAAATCCACCAAAATTGACCAAAACATCCAAATTTCCCCTATATACCTAAAGTCCCCAAATCATCCCCAATTTCTACCAAATTTATTTCAAAGTTCGCCAATTTCAAATCCAAATCAAAATTCATCACGTCCAAGACCAATTGACATCAAATTCAAACCCAATTGAACCCAACTTTAAACCCTAAGTCCAAGTGCAAAAAAATTACCCCAAAATTGACCCTATGCCAATATTTCATCAAACTGAGCCCTTCAATCAATTTAATTCCTCCAATTTCACTTTCTAAATTCTTCATGACATCCCCCTAGACCAATTGGACCCTTCAATTAATTTTTAAATCAGGTTTAAGTCAAGCATAAATCCAATTTTTAGTCCAAACCCTAATTTTGAGCCAAAAATCCAAATTAACCTAAGTCATTGAAATTAACCAATGCTTAATTTTTTCCAGGTTTGGTTAGCCTCCAATGATGCTAATCACATCACATAAGGACCCAATTTTGAGCCATGGACCAAGAGTCCCTTAAATCATGCAAATTCTATCCTAAATTTTGCTAAGCTCTTTATCCCATGCCATCAGCCCTCAAGTCTCAATGTTATCATAATTAAACCTTCAATTAAACCTCTTGACCTTGCTAGCCACCTCCCCTGGCTTGGCCGACCTGACTAGTCACTAGAGAACCCAAAATTGATGACCTCCTCATTGGCTCAAACCCAAAATCCCACCCATCTAATGTGGCTCACTCCCACTGTTGAATTGTGCACTCAAACATCCACATAAGAAACCTTTTCCACCACCTAGCTTGCCCTATTAGCCACCATGGCCGTGGTTATTTAAAGACCACCTACCATTTCCATTATAAGAGTGTTGTCAATTCCTTGGGGAGACCCTTCCAAATTTGCTTTCAAAGCTTTCCCCACCATTTCTAAGCTTACTCCCACCAATTACAGCTACTGAATCCACTACCCAAGCTCAATTTATTCACCCAAAACTAGGAGCTTTCACGACCATCCCACCAAACTTTAAATTTATCGTTTTAAAAGCTTGCCCAGACTACACGAGGAGGTTCCCCATCAAAACACCTCTCTGCTGAGCACTCTAACCTACTCCTAGACTAAGCCCATACCACATGTTCATCGAACTCCTACACGAACCCAACTTTAGCTTGAGGTAACACTTGGAGGACTTTTTTTAGCTTAAAACGAAGCTTTAGAATAAACCCAATCGAGGCCTTGCCTCTTGTGCATAGGTAAAATCCAAAATCCCTAAAATCGTGCTCAGTTAAACCAATTGTGAAGAGAATGTTTATTTGATATGCATTTAACTGTATGGATTTTTTGTCTCGATTAGATGATGTTATGGAAATAAACCGTGAGCAATTTGATTGAGTATTGATGTGGGGGACAAATTTAGAGTGAAAAGTTTGAAAATATTTTTCAAAATTACAAAATTACGCACAACAGATATATAATAAATATGCAATATAATCCAAAAAAATAATTTTTATGAAAATAATTTATCTTTTAAAACTCTTTTTAAAATGTCAAATCTTCTTTAAAATCAACGCAAGTATAAGTATCACTCAAGTAATAATGAGCTCTAATGGAGTCCTAGATATTCATACCACAGAGAAGTTGGAAAATCCAAAAAGTAAATTATGAAAATTATTTTATAATCTAAAAATACAAAAATAAAAGTAAAGTAAAGTGCAAAGTTTGAAAATTAACTAATCATGTGAATGTTAATTAAAATGCAAATGTAGGACTACAAAAGTTAAACTAAACTAAATAGTAAACTTTCAAAAGTAAAATTACAAAAAATAAATAAAGTTTTTGTTGTGACGGAAAGTTCAAGTTTAAGAAAACATCATTCCCTTTTACAATGAGTATATGGATTATAAAGAAATTGAAATCATTTGAAAACATATATAAAAAATGTTTTGTGCTAAATAGGAGCAATCTTATTCTTTACCCTCTTTCGAGTGGTAGAAAGAACATTGAATAATCCTGAGTTTGGTCCCTGATTCCGTGGTTAGGCTGGGAGGATACCGACTGCCACTCTAGAGCTCCCACTACTCTCTCACCTTAAGGCTAACAATATCGCATTAGTTTCCAATCAACTAGACCAAATTGAGAATTTTAATCTGTGACCTTAAATTTTTCAATTCTGCATCCAACAAAGTATATTTATTTATTTATTTTCACCCAATCTCATGGATGACATTCTCTCCCATGAAATCAATTGTGATTCTAGCTAATTTGTGAAAATCATATCTCATTTAAGATCATATGTCTCTCAACAGGTTTTAATATTTCAACTGGCAAGATCGAAAAGTAAATGAAGATCAGAGTTCAAATCATCTTAAATTATTAACATTTGAAATTGTAGGAAACAAAATCTATGCTTTACAAAACCATATCTCAAAGTAGGTAGAAGGATAAAGAAGACCACTCAGAATTCATGAGAACGATACGAAAAAACATGTATTTCATATATAAAAATAGGTTTACAAAATAAAAGAAAGAAAAATATAACTTTTTAAAATCTTTCCCAAACAAATCCCTAGAAGTTCTCTCCAAGTCTTTCTCTCTTTACAATCACTC